TAATTTCCAAACTCATCATATAAGCATGATCTCCATGTAATATTTATACCAAATGATAGAGAATTTCAAGAGGATTAATTCTTTATCTAATAGCTTAATCCAAAAATCAATAGAATAAGCTTAAAAATGAACTTGAAAATTCTTACCTTAATAGCCATAGTGTTTCATGTTTGGGGTTGGAAGAAGTTGAAGTTTTCTGATTTTTTTCTTCAATTAAAACATAATACACTTTGTTTAATCTAATATAAATGAATTTAAAATTCTATTAATGTGAAATTATCATTTTACCCTTAATAAAATATGATAATTTCAACTTGCCATTGGAATATCTTTCATTTTAATATTCCAAAGAAAATATGAACAAATAAAAAACCATTTTTCACCTACTTTTGGATTAAGCTACTAGATAGAGAATTAATATAAATATAACATCACTCATCGGTGGTATATCTATGAAATGAACACAACTCATGCTAACTCAAGATCATGTGTCAGATAATTTCTTCCCCTGATTCTTAATTTCTATAAAGCATAAGTCGTAACTTGTCCTTTTGCATAAACACACATCCCAAATCATTATGAAACACATCACTATAGATCACATAGTCTTTTCCAGATTGGATTACACTGACATTGGGCTTCTATCAGTATTCTCTTTAATATCTTGAAATTTTCTTGTCATCTATCAATCTAATTGAATAACACATCTTTTCTCAATAGCTTCATCAGAGGGGAGATAGTCATCGAAAAGTTTTTTACGAACCTTCAATAATAACTAACAAGTCCCAAGAACTTTGAATCTCAGAATCACTCTTTGGAATTTATCATTCGACTATGGTTTATACTTTCCTAAAGTCTATTCTTATCTCCTCAACTAAAACCACGTGGCGAAGAAATGTAATTTTAGACAACCATAACTCACATTTTTTCAACTTAACATACAATTCTTTCTCTCGAAGAGTTGGAAGAATTATGCAAAAATATGCATCATATTCTTCTTTTGTCTTAAAATAGACCATATTATCATCGATGACCACTACCATCAATTAGTCCTAGTATAACTAAAATACTCATTTTATCAAAACCATAAATGCCACAGGAACATTTGTTAAACCAAACGGCTTTACCATAAGTTTGTATCATTCATATTGAGTCCTGAAAGCTTTATTAGGATGATCTTCTTCCAAAATCTTTAGCTAATAATATCCAGATCGGAGATTAAATCTTAGAAAACATCAATGCACCTTTTAATTTATAGTGATTTTTCAAATTTAACTTATAAAAGTTGTTTTGAGCAGAATTTGTTGCCCTGTTTTCTGACCTATCATCGATTAAAAATTAATATTTTTTGTATACTCATTGAAATCAATATTTGTTTGTTTTAGACAAAACTAGTCTCATATACAAATCTAACAGTACAAAAATCATCCTCTAATCATTTATGTATAATTTATGGTGTTTTTCTAAACTTACTATTTCGATCAAAAATCTAGGCAGATTTCACCAATTTGCATTTTCAGTTTGTTTACTAATTTTATTAGCTTACCAAATGCACATATATACATAAATGACAAAGTCACACAACATTTAAAGTCACTTCTTACCATAGCAACTCCGTCACTTGCTCATCGTAAGTCAATGTTTGCTCGATAACATAAATACAAATTAAATTTGTACTCATTTGATGTCCTTAGCTTGTAAACCTTACTAGCACCTCATATTACGTCCTTAAGTGTCTCTTAGCTTTAACATTGCTTGATCTTGATTTCAATCGTAATCTAAATGAACATCATTTAAAAAACATATACATTTCAAATCATATGTTAGAATCTTACTAACATAGGCACACAATAGAAAATAAATTCCTAAAAACCTTTCGATGCTCATTTTATACGAATTTCGTATCACATCATCAATGTTGACCTTAATACTTCAAATTGACCAATAAATCCCTTTTTATCCAAATTCACCCAAACTTCACCTGACATTCTTCAACTTTCCATTTTAACTACCATTTATGAATTCTTTTAGAATTCATATCAACTTTCCATTTTATTTCAAATAGTCTTTTGCCTTTTAGCTTCAATTCAAGTTTCAAACAACTTAATTAAATTTCCAGCATCTAATTTTCAGCCCAATACCTCAACAACTCCACTATTGCCACTTAAGTCACTAACTTTCTCAATATTTGCCATTTAGTACTCAAACTTTGCCAACTTTCCAAAATAGTCAAATTTCACATTATAACATCAAATTCAATATTCTAACTTTCAATTCCAGCATAGTACATAATATTTCTAGCATTTTCACATAAACCCCATAATTTTTCATAATTGTCAAATAGGTCCCCCAACTTTCATAAAATTAAAAAATGGCTCAATTAACTTTCTAAAGCTTGTAGAACCTTTCAAACATCATTTCTAAGCCTAAGGAAATTTTGCCCCAATTAATTCCTTAGGGCCGAGTGTCATAGTGGTTAGGGTTCTTGATTTTCACTTGATTCAAGCATGGATTCCACCTCTAAACAACATTCCAAGGCTTCCACAATCAAAGCCCTAACATAATTTAATCAAATCACAATTTTCTCAAAACCCTAGGTCATTTCCAAATGGGATTTCACCCAATTTCAAGTAGTTTTAATCATCATACAAGCTTTAGAATTAATCCCCAACATAAAAAACATAAAAATATTTCATCAAATCCTCAAAATCAACAAATCCTACATAAACCCTAATTTCCAAACTCAACATATAAGCATGATATCCATGTAATATTTATACCAAATGATAGAGAATTTCAAGGGGATTACTTCTATATCTAATAGCTTAATCCAATAATCAATCGAATAAGATTAAAAATGAACTTGAAAATTCTTACCTTAATAGCCATGGTGTTTCACGCTTGGGGCTGGAAGAAGCTGAAATTTTCTGATTTTTTCTTCAATTAAATCATAATACACTTGGCTTAATCTAATATAGATGAATTTAAAATTCTATTAATGTGAAATTATCATTTTACCCTTAATAAAATATGATAATTTCAACTTTCCATTGGAATATATTCCATTTTAATATTCCAAAATCAAAGATGAAAAAAAAATTCACTTTCCACCTTTGCCCTTGCAAATTTTTAAAAACTAATATTTAGTCACTAAATTTTCCAATTTCAACTAAATATGTAAAATCAACTTCAATTCCATCGATCCACATTAAATTTCACTGTTCTAAAATTTTAAAATAATATTTCCAACATTTATATATCATCCTTCAAATTTTCGTAAAATTCCAGTTCGATCCGATTACCCGATTTTCTTTTGGACTTTACTACTTTGTAGCTTTTAACACAAATTTCATATCAAAATTCTGATTCCCACGAAAACGTCATTCTTGAGGTTGAACTATTCATTTACGGGGGTCAAAATACCTAACTTTTAAAAATTACCTTTTTGGTCACTGCCCTTTTCAAACTTTCTACATTGACCAATAAACTTTCAAAATTTATATTTTGGCCACTAACCAAAATTTGGGTATTATACCCACAATCTGGACCTCAAACCCCAAACCACAATTCCAAAATCATAAAACCTAATCCTTAAATTTCAAATCATAAATGTTGCATTTTAATATTTTTTACATTCTTAACATTTTTTTCTCTTTCATTTAATCTTTTATTTAAAAATTGAGAAAATCTGATGAGCGATAATCTAATTTAAACTTAAAAATGATAGAAATAAACGCAATCGAAAATATGATAAAAGATATATCTTTTAAGTATATTAAGAAAATGTAACATTTTAGATTACATTTAACCTAAAATGTTATATTTTATTATATTTTCGATGTTATATTTTTAGCATATTTTCAATTGATTTATTTTTATTAATTTTTAACCTTAAATTAGATTATAGTACCTTGGAACTACCTTTGAAAATTTGAAAGATGTAAGCGAAGAGTGACTAAAACATTTTTTTCTAAAATAAGTAATAAAGATAAATTATTTTCTTTATGGATAAAATAAAATTGTCAAGGATTGACCGGTCTTAAAGCTTAATTAAGAACTCAAAAGAAGATTTGAATGGGACATGCATTGACTAAATGTTTCGCTTTCCTTTTATTATCATCTTTTACCACGCTTTGTAATGGGAAATTTACCATTTAAAATCTTTATATTATACCATGAAATGCATTTTAATTTTTATACTTTAAAAATAAAACAAAAGGTTTTCATTAGAAAAAATAGATTTTTATAATATTTTCTAGTATAAGATAGTTTTTTTTAAATAATACGTTTTGCAGATTATGCGTATTATAAATGTTAAAAAACATTATCATCATATGCTACGTTATAATCACTTCGTTCTTTTAAAAAAAAGTTATCTCCTAATTAGTTGTTTCTTTCATCACTTACAAAATATCATTTTACTAGTTTTTAATGTAAAGGGTAAACTACATCAGATATCACCAAACTTTAGATGTTAAATCGTTTATACTATTGAATTTTGATTTTCGTTTCAATTATATCATTGGTCTGTTAAATCGTTAACAACTGGATCAAAACGTCCTCGTTTTGGTGAGGTGTCTACATTGATAGTTGTTAGCCACGCAGTCGTTAGCTACGTCATCGTATCGTTAACGATTCAGTGGTATAATTGAAACGAAAATCAAAGTTGAGTGCTATAATTAGATAAATTGAAAGTTAAGTGGTATAGATGATACAACACCTAAAGTCTGATGGTATATGATGTAGTTTATCCTAAGGAAAAATATATGGACCAAAATACACTCCATGCTATAATAGAGAGACTTGCAGAGTATTTTCACCATTTCTAACCCCTTCTTCCTAAATCATCCATCGTGTGCACACAAATTATTTATATACATACTGTATTTTTATCTTCTTCTCTAGATTACAAGCTTAACAAAATTTGAAAACGAAAACTAATTTGTATTAGTAATCAACACAAATGAATACGAAAGAATGAGTGGAAATCAGAAATCAGTGAAAGACAAAGATCGTTAATTCTGAGAGGAAGACGAAGGAGGAGGAGGCGGTGAAGAAGAAGACTCGAATTGGTAGTGTTTATCCACAGCAACAGAGACATCCCATGTGCAACTCAGACCTTTGGGGATAACAACAAGATCTCCGGCACCGAACTCTACAAACTCCGGCGAGCCTTTGGGGTAAACCCTCACTTTCCCTCTCAGCAAATAACAAGTTTCCTCTGCATCAAACTTCAGCTGGTACTTCCCCGGTGAGCAGCCCCATCTGTGAAATCATACATACATAAATTACCAACAAAAATAGAAAGCAAAAAGGAGGCCATTTTGAGAGCTTACTTGTAACCCCCTAGACCCGGCCTATGCGTTTCGACTAAGTCTAGTGGATCACATTATAATTATTAAAGACATTTTTCGCAACCGTTATTCCATCAATATAAAATCACATTATAAAAACATGAAATTATAAACAATTTATACTATCAAAAACCAACTCGTAAATATAGTACAAATAAATAATAATTTAATTTAAAACATGTCTTCAAATTCAAAATCACAATAAACCGAGCAGTAGTAGCAAAAGTGTTATCATTATAAAATCCGATATTTTAAAATAAGGTCCATGTCACCAAAATAAAGTAAACTTGCCAGATAAAAACATTACAATCTGATTTACTTCAAGAGATATGTTGATCCTCCAAGTGCTCGAACCAAGGTATCTACCCAACAGTATCTGAAAGGGGAAAACATTTTCAAAAGGTGAGCTAGGCTCAGTGTGTCCCAACATTTCCATAAAATCACAATAGGTACAAATCATAGTCCAGAAATCTCACAAATTCGTAACAGAGTTTAACTTTTTGAAAATCATAGTTTAAACCCTTTTCTGGTACACCATCAGTAGTTCCCAAAATTATTTTCCATATAGCTTACTTTATGCACATAGCAAAAAGAAAGCCGACTTAAGGATAGGCTCTGAAGCTTGTATCCTTAAGCCCAAGTCAATAAGTCCATATAGCTTACCCTAAGCACACAGCAAAGGAAAGCCGACCTAATGAAACATCTTGGGGCCCTCAAGAGTCACATTAGGCCCAATTAGCTTGATCAGAGCTATTCCATCGTATTTCAATTCCAAAATTCAATTGCACCGTGACATAAATTCCATAAATCCAAAAACATGGTAATCATATACCATTTCAAAACAAAATTAGATAGCAGCCATATTCCATAAATTGTCACATTAAATTGGTGCATCCATAAAACAATATCCAATGAATTCGGTGTACCACATATTAAAACCAATAAAACAGTTCAATAATAAGTAGGGAACACACCTCGACAATAGATTCAAATAACAAATCTACTGATTGCTGGTTTCACCACGCTCTGCTACAGTTTTCGAACGGGTAAATACTGGCACACGTGGTTTAACTGATCTAGAAGAGCTGGTCGAGCTGTCGAACGATCCGGAGAGTCTCTTGTACCTTCAAACAATAATATTTATCAGTCTCAAATCCTATTTAATTGTTCAAAGCTAAACTTCTTAAGTATATACGCATTTTTCGGGTTTGACTATCAATTTGAGGTATTTCGAGTCTGAATTTGGCCAAACGGATTACGGAATCGGAATCAGGACGTCGAAAAACATAAAGTATGACTTTTTGAAAATTCAAATTCTTGGTCAAAGTCAAAGTCAACCACTTTGACCGTAGATTTGGAGACCTTCGGATTCGAATTTGACAAAACAGACCACGGAAACGGATTCGGCACGTCGAAAACTATCAGGATAGGTATACTCGGAAAAGATTAACGGTCGTTTAATGCTCGGTCAAAGCCATTTTAAGTTTTGGTCAAAGAAAGTCAACGGTCAACGGTCAACGGTCAACGGTCAACGGTCGGGTCGGGTCGGGTCAACGGTCGGGTCGGGTCGGGTCAACGGTCGGGTCGGGTCAGACCGGTCAAACCGAGTCAGACCGGTCAAACCGAGTCAGACCGGTCAAACCGGTTCGAACCGGTTGAAACCGGTCAAACCGGTCAGAACCGGTTGAAAACCGGTTAAACCGGTTTCCAGCAGCCACTCGCCCTGCGGCGGCGCGTGTGGCGCGTGAGGCGTCCTCCGGGGCCCTAAAAATCCCGGAAAAATTTCTAAAAATTATTTTGAGCGATTTCAAGATACTTACAACGATCGGTTCAAATTTTTGAACGGCGGAGAGCTCGATTTCAAATCGGCCGAATCTTTGACTGCACCACCTCCTCACGCGCCGCCGTCTACGGCGGACAAGGTTGACACCGGTGAACTCGGAACGGCACAAGGAACACGATGGTGCGGGAGGTGTCGTAAACGGAGCAACGATCAGCGGTGAATTTAAGATTTCCTCGGCGATAGAGCTAACAAAACCGTCGCTACTTTGACTGGAAATTCCCGACGTTTGGCCGCGTTTCGCTTCAATTAATTTGAAGGGTTTGTTCCGCTCGATGATGAACACAACGGTGGGTTTTAAACGATGATCGGAATTTGGACGGCGTCGAATCGGAGTTGGAAACTGCGTATGGGAAAGGAAAATTGGAAGCCTTTTGGTTCTGAAAATCAGAACCATATGCACGCTTATAATCAAAGCTGCCGACAGTTTTAGGGTAAATTCAAGGCTTGGTCCTTGGATTTTCTTCACTTCTAAAATGGCCTATAAACTCTCATAATTTGATTTAGTCACCAACAATTTACCAATTTTCACAATTAACCTCTAAAATTTCAATTAAATATTTTGAAAATCGGTTGTTACAATTCTCCCCCTCTACAAGAAATTTCGTCCTCGAAATTTACCTTATGAGAATAGTTGAGGAAACTGAGCCTCCATTGACTCCAATGTCTCCCAAGTAGCTTCTGAGGGGCCTCGATTTCTCCACTGAACTTTGACCATTGGAATTCGTCTATTCCGAAGAACTCGTTCATCTCTCTCCAAGATCTGAATGGGCTCCTCTTCATATGACAAATCAGGTCTCAGCTCTACTTCTTCAACTTGAATAATGTGACCTGGATCTGGACGGTATCTCCTCAACATTGATACATGAAAGACATCATGAATACGACTTAGCTCAGAAGGCAACTCAAGCTGATATGCAACAGGTCCTACCCTCTTCAAGATACGAAATGGTCCAATAAATCTTGGACTTAATTTACCCTTACGCCCGAATCTCAATACTTTCTTCCAGGGTGAAACCTTAAAAAGACCTGATCTCCAGCCTCAAACTGTATATCTTTCCTTCTTTGATCTGCATAAGACTTCTGCCTATCAAATGCCTCTTTCAGACGGTCACGAATCAATCTGACTGTGTCCTCCGTCTCTCGCACTAACTCAGGTCCCAACGTCTTCCTATCACGCAACTCAGTCCAACAGATCGGAGTGCGACATTTACGCCCATAGAGTGCTTCATAGGGTGCCATACGAATACTGGTCTGATAACTGTTATTGTAAGCAAATTCAGCCAACGGCAAAAAGTTCTCCCAACTACCATGAAAACGATTACGCAACCCCGCAACATATCCTCCAGAATCTGAATTACTCTCTCAGATTGACCATCAGTTTGTGGATGAAAGGATGTACTATAATCCAATCTTGTTCCCAAAGCCGTATGTAACGCCTTCCAAAATCTCGAAGTAAATCTCGGATCTCGATCAGAAATAATAGACAATGGAACACCATGCAATCTGACAATCTCTGAAATATACAATATTGCCAGCTTATCCAAAGTATAATTTACTCGCACAGGAATGAAGTGAGCTGACTTTGTAAGTCTGTCAACAATCACCCAAATTGAATCTTTTTTCAAAGGAGTCATAGGCAAGCCAGTAACAAAATCCATAGTAATACGCTCCCATTTCCATTCAGGAATCTTGATAGGTTGTAACAAACCTGATGGATGTTGATGTTCTGCCTTAACTTGTTGACAAGTCAAACACCTAGCCACAAAGTCAGATATGTCTTTCTTCATACCAGTCCAATAATACCTCTCTCTCAAATTCCGGTACATCTTATCTCCTCCGGGGTGCATAGCATATGACTACTATGAGCCTCAGTAAGGATAGTCTGCCTCAATTCAGCGTCATCAGGCACAATATCTACCTTTAAAGCATAAAACTTCATCCTGATCAATTGCGTAATCTGTGTTTGTCCCCTGCTCTACTTGCTCAAGATGGAAAGCAAGGAGCTATCAAGGGGCTGCTTAGCTTTGATCTCATCAACCAAGGTCGGCTTAACTTGCAATTCTGCTAACAAAGTGCCATCGTCATATAAATTCATCTTGGCCATTAAAGACCTCAACTCCGATACCGTCTTTCGACTCAAGCATCTGCTACAATGTTAGCTTTACCAGGTGGTAATCAATCACGCAATCATAATCCTTTAGAAGCTCTAACCAGCGACGCTGTCTCAAATTAAGTTCCTTCTGGGTCAGAAGATACTTTAAGCTCTTATGATCTGTGAAAATGTAACACTTCTCTCCATAAGATAGTGTCTCCAAATCTTCAAGGCAAAAATTACTGCTGCCAGCTCTAAATCGTGAGTAGGATAATTACACTCATGCGGTCGCAGCTGACGGGATGCATAAGCCACCACCTTACTTTCCTGCATTAAAACACAACCAAGTCCTGAATGTGAAGCATCACTATACACTGTAAAATCCTTCCCGGACTGTGGTTGAATCAACACCGGTGCTTGAGTCAAAACCGCCTTTAATTTCTCAAGCTCTCTTGTTGTGCCTCGCCCCAGTCAAACGACACATTCTTCCTTAACAACTTTGTCAAAGGAGAAGCAATGATCGAAAAGCCCTCAACAAAACGTCGATAATAACCAGCCAAGCCCAAGAAACTGCGGATTTCAGATACGTTCTTAGGTCGTTTCCAATTCATAATAGCCTCTATCTTGCTGGATCAACCTGAACACCTCGCGCAGAAATAATATGCCCCAAAAATGACACTTCTTGAAGCCAAAACTCACACTTGCTTAGTTTGGCATATAGACGATGCTCTCTCAAAGTCCGCAGAACGATCTTCAAATGCTCGTCATGCTCTGCCTCAGTACGAGAATAGATTAGAATATCGTCAATGAAGACCACCACAAATTGATCCAAATATGGTCGGAACACCCGATTCATCAATCCATAAAAGCTGCAGGAGCGTTCGTCAAACCAAAAGGCATCACTAAAAATTCATAATGACCATATCTAGTGCGAATGGCCGTTTTTGCAACATCAGATCCTTTAACTTTCAATTGATAATACCCGAACGAAGATCAATTTTAGAGAATACAGTAGCTCCTCGCAATTGATCAAATAAGTCATCAATCCTGGGTAATGGGTATTTATTCTTGACCGTCATCTTGTTCAATTTCCGATAGTCAATACATAATCTTAGCGACCATCCTTCTTTTTCACGAATAGAACTGGAGCTCCCCATGGTGAAGTACTATGTCGGATAAATCCTCGATCGAATAATTCTTGCAATTGGACTTTCAACTCCTTAAGTTCCTTTGGAGCCATACGATAAGGTGCCATAGAAATAGGTGAAGATCCTGGATAAGTCTCAATCTCGAACTCTACCTCTCTATCAGGAGGTACCCAGGCAAACTCCTCCGGAAAAACATCAGGAACTCGCTAACTGTACGATCTCCTCGATCGTGGACAATGCACCTTTGGTGTTCAAAATACAAGCAATGAAGGTCTCATATCCCTTTCGGATCATACGATCAATTTCCATCGCTGAAACTATATTGGAGAGATAGCCACGCCGTTCCCCAATTAACACAACAGTCGACCATCTGAAGTCTTCAGAGTAGCCCGCTTGTATTCGCAATCCAGCTTTACCTTGTGTTTATTCAACCAATCCATTCCAAGAATAGATCAAACTCCTCTAGAGGAAGCTCCATAAGATCAGCGAGAAAAAATTTCTCCCTGAACCTCGAGAGGGCAACACAGAAATACTTTATTCACTAATACTGCTTGTCCTACTGGACTCGTAACTGTAACAGTATTTCAGTGTTTCTATCGGAATCTGAAGGTTTCGAGATACTGAGCTCGATACATAGATGAGTGGAGCCATTGTCCAGTAATGCAAAGTATGGATAGAATAAATAGTAATTGTACCTGCAATAACCTCAGGCTCATCTCTGTCATCACGACGTCTAGTTGCATAAACCAAAGCTGGCTGTCTAGCCTCAGAAGCTGTTGGCCCTCTATTTTGCTGAGGTCGGGCTCTACTGTCTGTCCTGGACGCTGATCCTCGAGTCTTCCTTGACTACGATCTTAATTGGGGTCTGTACTGTAGTCTGCGAACGCACAGGAGTTTGGGTAGTGGTCTGCTCAAACGAACTAACTGAGGACATCTCTCCGATAATGACCACTAGATCCACACTGATAGCAAAGACCCATCTTCTTACGACACTCTCCTGAGTGTTGTTTACCACAATACTCACAAAGGGGGCCCATTATAATACGACGAGGAACCTCCTCGACTGACAGCTAAAGGTGAGGATGCTGCAGGCCTGAACGTGTATTGCTTCTCTGAGGAGCTGAAGTACGAGTCCTCTTTCCGGACTGTGCTGATGACTCCATCGGGCCTGAAAATTTCTTAGATCGATCTTGATCAACACGCTCTCTACCAGAAGCTAAAAAACTCCACCTCTTCCGCATCTTGGCTCTGCCCACCAGCACATCAAATATCATCCTGATGGGGTTACAACTTGCCTACGCAGCTCGTATCTGAGTCCAAGGGCAAATTTACGACATCGATCTCTCTCCGTCGGTACCATATATCCATACTTCAGCAATTTCAGGAACTCGATCTCATATTCAGAAACAGTCATGTCTCCTGAGCCAGGTCTTGAAACTGTGTCGTCTCTGAGCTAAGTAGCGCTCTCCCAGAAAACGGCTCCGAAAGCGATCCTTAAAGAAATTCCAGTCAAACGATCGGTAGAACACTACTGGTCACTGACTCCCACCAAGTGTAGGCATTGCCATCTAACATCGCCACAGCACCCTGATATCTTAATTGAGTCCAAACCCAACTGATCCATGCGTCTCTCTGTATCCTGGAGCCAATCCTCAGCTTCAGTAGGAGCTCCACCTATCTGTCCCCCAAAAAGTTCTAACTCCCTTGGCAATCAAAGTTGCGAAATAGGAACCTCAGATACAACACCAGCAGCTCTGACTGCTCCTGTATCAACTGCAGAAATTGTCTACCAAAAGTCTCATCCAAAGCAAACTCCGGTAGATTCTGACTCAATATCTGTCGCTCCTATGATCGGTGTAGTATGCCAATACATCGGTAGGAGGCAGATTCGTTGGGGTCGTAGGAGCAGGATCACCTATCGGAGGTGGGGGATCTACTCGTATCTCATCGATCGGATGCAAATCTAGCCACTCGACCTCGTCCACGGCTATTTCGACGACCACGTCTAGCACTCATTTTGATGGATCTCAAGTTTACTACAGAAGATAAAACTTAGGGTTAGATAGCACTGAGTCTCAAACATAGTTAAAATCTTAATAACTTTGTGACATGGCCTTAGTAACTCGTTTGTAAAATATTTCAAAACCGTATTTTCAATGTGGACTCATACAGTCCGAGGGTTAAAAACCAAAAGCTCTGATGCCAATAAATGTAACCCCCTAGACCCGGCTATGCGTTTCGACTAAGTCTAGTGGATCACATTATAATATTAAAGACATTTTTCGCAACGTTATTCCATCAATAAAATCATTATAAAAACATGAAATTATAAACAATTTACTATCAAAAACCACTCGTAAATATAGTACAAATAATAATAATTTAATTTAAAACATGTCTTCAAATCAAAATCACAATAAACCGAGCAGTAGTAGCAAAAGTGTTATCATTATAAAATCCGATATTTTAAAATAGGTCCATGTCACCAAAATAAAGTAAACTTGCCAGATAAAACATTACAATCTGATTTACTTCAAGAGATATGTTGATCCTCCAAGTGCTCGAACCAAGGTTCTACCCAACAGTATCTGAAAGGGGAAACATTTTCAAAAGGTGAGCTAGGTCAGTGTGTCCCAACATTTCCATAAAATCACAATAGGTACAAATCATAGTCCAGAAATCTCACAAATTCGTAACAGAGTTTAACTTTTTGAAAATCATAGTTTAAACCCTTTTCTGGTACACCATCAGTAGTTCCCAAATTATTTTCCATATAGCTTACTTTATGCACATAGCAAAAAGAAAGCCGACTTAAGGATAGGCTCTGAAGCTTGTATCCTTAAGCCCAAGTCAATAAGTCCATATAGCTTACCCTAAGCACACAGCAAAGGAAAGCCGACCTAAGAAACATCTTGGGGCCCTCAAGAGTCACATTAGGCCCAATTAGCTTGATCAGAGCTATTCCATCGTATTTCAATTCCAAAATCAATTGCACCGTGACATAAATTCCATAAATCCAAAAACATGGTAATCATATACCATTTCAAACAAAATTAGATAGCAGCCATATTCCATAATTGTCACATTAAATTGGTGCATCCATAAAAATATCCAATGAATTCGGTGTACCACTATTAAAACCAATAAAACAGTTCAATAATAAGTAGGGAACACACCTCGACAATAGATTCAAATAACAAATCTACTGATTGCTGGTTTCACCACGCTCTGCTACAGTTTTCGAACGGGTAAATACTGGCACACGTGGTTTAACTGATCTCACCGTGACATAAATTCCATAAATCCAAAAACATGGTAAGTAGGGAACACACCTCGACAATAGATTCAAATAACAATCTACTGATTGCTGGTTTCACCACGCTCTGCTACAGTTTTCGAACGGTAAATACTGGCACACCGTGGTTTAACTGATCTAGAGAGCTGGGTCGAGCTGTCGAACGATCCGGAGAGTCTCTTGTACCTTCAAACAATAATATTTATCAGTCTCAAATCCTATTTAATTGTTCAAAGCTAAACTTCTTAAGTATATACGCATTTTTTTTTTCGGGTTTGACTATCAATTTGAGGTATTTCGAGTCTGAATTTGGCCAAACGGATTACGGAATCGGAATCAGGACGTCGAAAAACATAAAGTATGACTTTTTGAAAATTCAAATTCTTGGTCAAAGTCAAAGTCAACCACTTTGACCGTAGATTTGGAGACCTTCGGATTCGAATTTGACAAAACAGACCACGGAAACGGATTCGGCACGTCGAAAACTATCAGGATAGGTATACTCGGAAAAGATTAACGTCGTTTAATGCTCGGTCAAAGCCATTTTAAGTTTTGGTCAAGAAAGTCAACGGGTCACGGTCAACGGTCAACGGTCAACGGTCGGGTCGGGTCGGGTCAACGGTCGGGTCGGGTCGGGTCAACGGTCGGGTCGGGTCAGACCGGTCAAACCGAGTCAGACCGGTCAAACCGAGTCAGACCGGTCAAACCGGTTCGAACCGGTTGAAACCGGTCAAAACCGGTCAGAACCGGTTGAAAACCGGTTAAACCGGTTTCCAGCAGCCACTCCCCCCTGCGGCGGCGCGTGTGGCGTGAGGCGTCCTCCGGGGCCCTAAAAATCCCGGAAAAATTTCTAAAAATTATTTTGAGCGATTTCAAGATACTTACAACGATCGGTTCAAATTTTTGAACGGCGGAGAGTTCGATTTCAAATCGGCCGAATCTTTGACTGCACCACCTCCTCACGCGCCGCCGTCTACGGCGGACAAGGTTGACACCGGTGAACTCGGAACGGCACAAGGAACACGATGGTGCGGGAGGTGTCGTAAACGGAGCAACGATCAGCGGTGAATTTAAGATTTCCTCGGCGATAGAGCTAACAAAACCGTCGCTACTTTGACTGGAAATTCCCGACGTTTGGCCGCGTTTCGCTTCAATTAATTTGAAGGGTTTGTTCCTCGCTCGATGATGAACACAACGTGGGGAAAACGATGATCGGAATTTGGACGGCGTCGGAATCGGAGTTGGAAACTGCGTATGGGAAAGGAAAATTGGAAGCCTTTTGGTTCTGAAAATCAGAACTATATGCACGCTTATAATCAAAGCTGCCGACAGTTTTAGGGTAAATTCAAGGCTTGGTCCTTGGATTTTCTTCACTTCTAAAATGGCCTATAAACTCTCATAAATTTTGATTTAGTCACCAACAATTTACCAATTTTCACAATTAACCTCTAAAATTTCAATTAAATATTATTTTGAAAATCGGGTTGTTACATTACTTGGGCCAACACTTGATGTTAAGCTCTGAGAGTTTAGACTCTGGAGGATTTCTTTCCACGGCAATTCTCAGGTTATTTTCAGCCATGGGATTTTTTACCTTTTTACCGTGTGTTCTGGGTTTTCTGTTAAAAAAGAGAGGGAAAAGGGGATGAAGTTGAAGATGTGTTTGCAGATTTGGGGTTTGGTATGACCATGACCACGGGTATATATATACGTGAAACAGGTGAAGGGCAAGGCAGAGGGTTTTGGTTTAGGGTTGGCAGTGCAAGGGATGGTATTGGTATGCCTGCCTCATAACTAACATTTTGACTTTATTTGCCAATGTTTTGGCTATGTCATTTTCATAAGGAAATAATAAGTTAAACCGACCATCTTTGCTTCTCTTTGCCCCTTATCTCAATGTGGTTCCACTTTATTTTTTTTATTAATCTAGGTAAATATAAGGTAATTTCTGTTTAAAGATACAGTTAAAACTCTATAAATTAATAATGTCAGGACCGGAGAAATTTATTAATTTAGAGAGTTATTAATTTATAGATAAATTAATAATTATTAATTTAAAGAGTTTTTAAGTAATTATACTGTACATACCAAATAAAAAGGCAAATTAGTCTATGCCTCTTAGAATTATGTTGCAAAAGATGAGTTAAATTAATAATGAACTCCAAATAGACTTGAACTTTAAAGGAAAACAGACAACTATTGAATCATATTTCAATAGAGTGTAATATAATTTTTTCAGTTTCTATGAATTATTAATTTATGATTTTCTTGGGACCGAAATTTATAACGGGATCTCACGAAAAATTATTATCTTATTATTTTATCGAGTTTTTCAATTTTTTACATTGGCCCAAGTCGGAACCGGACAAATTTATTATTTTAGAGAGTTTATTAATTTACCGAGTATTAATTTAAAGAGTTTCTACTGTAACACTTAACCATTTAATATTAAACACTCACACATCTGACATTCCTGATGTTCGAACATGAGACCTCAAGGAATAGCAACAATTTAACATGATTAAATATGTTGTGAGTTCGTTATTTTGTGTATACAAAAAATCATTACTAGAAGATAAAATTAAATGTGTAACACGAGTCGATCCGGATTAATCATAAAAAAATCTCGAGAATCGAGAGATCAAGCATAAAATATTAAATAGGAAAATAAAAAACGGGAAGAAAAGGGTTTCATTTCTCACCGCCAAATTTAAAGGGGTAATTAATGCAAATTTCCCAACTTTTAATGAAGATCGAAAAAACAATGAAACTTATGTATATGACTTGTTAGAAGTTGATTGGCTGAACTAAATGAAGAATATTGGTTTTAATGGGGGAAAAGGAAAAGCAGTGGCAGGGGATTATTACCCTGGTCAAAGGGTTGATTGTGGTAAATGCCAATATGACACGTGGCATCAGACTATTTCATGAAAAAAAAATATCACTGTTTGACCAAAGGGTATCTGGTCTTGAAGATACCTACACATCTGTGTCAGCAATCTCCATTCTCCACTACGCTGCATGCTCCTCAGTCCCTGAGCTTTTTAAGAAGTTTTATTTTGGTCCATAATCATTATCGAAGCATAATATTAGCATAAGTGTTTGTTAAGTAAAGTATAACTAATGTTGAATGATTATTTAAAAATTATTGATATCGTACTTTTTTATAGTATTTCTAATTCGATTTTCATTTAAATTATATCGTAAGTGTTATATTTCAGCATATTCGACGTGAAGGGAATAAGATTGCTTTAGAGCTATCCGATATTCGAGCTATTTGATCCGTCTCTAGAGGTTTGTACTGAGCTGTAATTGTGGTTTATGTTCACTAGCTTCCCAAAAAAAGCATAATTCATTAATACATATATAGTAAATTGGTTTTTATTGTTTAGTCTTATGATAAATGATCATTATAAATCAAATTCAATGGAATTTGATTATTATTATTATTTTTCTGTTGTTAAGGTGAGAACTGATGCGTGTGAAAAAATTACTTAAGTTTTGTACTTTTATTTATTTTATTATTTATATTTGAACAAATAAACTATTGAATGTATCATTAAATGATAAATCCGTCCCTCTATCAAGTTTTACAAAACCTCGACTAGATAAGATTTCACCGGGAAACAAACATCAGGGATTCCAGTACAATTCGATTTGTATTATCGTGTATATATATATATATATATATATATATGAAAGGCTTAAATATAAAATAAGTGCCTAAACTATATCAATTTTCATGAAGAGGTGTCTAAAGTATGTTTTGATTCATCCCGGTGCCTAACGCTACAAACGTTATCATTTTAGGTGTCTAGACCGTTAACGACATTAGTTTTTTTCCTAGACCTTTAACGACATTAGTTTTTTTTGTTAAGTGACATGTGTTGTAATCTGATGGTTTTAAAATGTATTTTAAAAAAGATACATTAAAATATTATTATATTTATAAGAAAACACTAATTTCTCTTAAAATATAAAAAACCCAAAATCCTTAAAATTCCCAGATCCTAATCTTAACCCACTGTCGCTGCCCTTTTCGGCCATAACCACCATCGCGATTATAGTCCATGTCATCCTCCTAGACATACTGTAACACCCTAATCCAATATGACCCAAAGATCGACGGGTTAGGATGTCATACGGGACCACCGAAGTGGCTAACCCAATTTTTTCCTTTTAAAACAACTGTAAAACACCAAATAAAATCTATCTAAGGTAAATAAAATAAAGCGTAATAATCAAGGTTTACAAAATATGGAGAGCTCCCAAATTATCCAAAAAAATACACTGAGTTTAAATCAAAATAAGTTACAATTAAATACAAAAAAGGGGTCTACAATAAAACATACCCTCTAATACAAATCATGATGTACTTTGATGTCTCTACTGAGTTAGAATATCTGGTGAAGATAACGCTCCACGGACGATCTCCTAACTACCTATGCACGGAAACACATTCCAAACGCCCAACTTACGAGCTTAGTGTCATACTATAATTGTATTATACTACATGCATTCACTAAATGAGCATGCTAGTGGCATAAGTATGAAAACATAAGATGTGATATGATATGCTAAGGTAAGCATCATGATGTGGCTAAGGGTTTTGCGTCTTCGGGCTCATACCCCTCTAACCTTCCTAATAGACCCTTAGGTATCTAGGGAGAGATCCATAACTGCATCAGAAATGTATATCTAACCAACTTTCTCCGTCGAGTCTTAGGGCATCTGTGCTGTAACACCCCCAACCCGTATCCGACCCGAATACGAGTCCGAGGTGTCACATTGACTTTTCAAACTTTGACTCTTATAGAAAATCCCGGGAAATTTAAAAACTTTATTTAAAACAAAATACAGACTTTATCAGAGTGCTCGTACTTAATGACTTATTACATACCAACACTTTATACATGACCAAATACATACTTTGTTAAATACTTCTGATCTGATCTTTTAGTAGTGATACTGTCTTTTCCACCTCTATTCTTTCACTTCTCGTTTCTTGGTACCTACGTGTAAATCACTTACACGCTAAGTCATAGACTTAGTGAGGCATATAAAACATATAATATAACCATATATCATTTCATATAAATAAAAGGTATACATATGCAAACACTATCAATAATCCTTTCCACTTACCATATACTCATCATATAACACATATATCAATATACCAAGAAACACACATAACATCAGATAATTCATGTATGTGCATTCATATCATTGAATCATTACATATCAATATGCATGAATCTATTGTATGATAACAATATACAATAAGGTCATGCACACATGCAACTTACCTTCTTATATCACTTTCACTTACATTTGTCTTTCAATTTCATTGCCCATGTATATTATTGAGAATAGAGGTATGTGAGTGCATTGAGGTTGTGCACTAATGATGTCACCACAGCTCGTATCAATTCCCTCATGGGGCACCGAACCTTAGTTCAGTATTCATCCCGTAGGACTATTATCTATGTCCCGTAGGACCATTACATCCCGAATGACTACATCCCGAAGGACTACATCCCGAAGGACTACATCCCGAAGGACTACATCCCGAAGGACTACATCCCGAAGGACTATTATACCCTCGACTCTTGGAATGCCAACTACACCTATAGTTCTCATATCATATACTATGGGCATTTATTTATACATTTCGTATCACTTGTTCTTTCTCTTCTGTCACATACCACATGTATTATATATATACATGTATTCATGTAAATCATTTCATGTAATTCATATCATATATATCACATATGCATATAAGCTTATAGCTTCTTTCACCTATACATGTAGTCACATAGCTTTCTTTCATGTACCCATGCATGTCATGTCAAATAACATATATCATATGTTGCATTTTCACTTAAACATATAAATCATATAACATCGCATTCATCTATTTCTATGTATTAATGCATATATGGTAATCACATAACAATTTAGAAGTTACTTCTTACCATAGTAACTCCATCACTGGCTCATCACAAGCCAATGTTAATTCAATAAAATAAGTACAAAATACATTGCACTCACCTTAGCTTTGCTTTGATTCGATTCTAATTCCTCAATTATCCCGAAACAAATCACTTTCTTTCTCTACATAACAATACACAGATTCATATCAATATTCCAATTGATATATTCTAAACTGTCACTTCTTAGGCTAAGAGAAAAGCCAATTTTCTCTTTTAATGAAAGTATGCATCGATGCACTACTTGTGCATCGGTGCATTAAATGCATTCGATGTTATTATTTTAAAAGGATGCATCGATGCATTAGCTATGCATCGATGCATCAAATGCATTCGATGTTCTTCTTTTAAAAGAGTGCATCGATGCACTACCAATGCATCGATGCACATTCAAACAATTTCTGGGTTTTAACCTTGATGCATCGATGCAATATGAATGTGCATCGATGCACTCTGCCCAGAATCCTCTTTTTGAACCCGAAAATCATCAACTCTTCACTCAAATGCTTCATATTTCACCTCCTTTCATATTCCTAACTTTCATATACATGTTAAACTCATTTATAATCAATTATCTCGTCTTTAACCTTAATATCCTCTCCTCTTTATTAGTTTCAAGAATCATACCAGAT